TAATTGAAGAACAGTACTTTGTTGTGGGAGACGTCCTGTACATGGCAGGATGTTCAGAGACATCTCTGTCCTCCATCCACTAGAGGTCAGTAGCATGCTAACACTTACTCAGTTTGGACATCCCCAAAACATCTCCAGACATTGTCCAATGACCAGGTCTTCCACTTCTTTTGCTTCACACTTTGTAACAATATCTATTCAACCTCTACTTCAAACATTAAAGATTTTCTAAGTAATAGCAAAATGTCTATAGAGTTACAGACCCTTTAAGGTTAATAGTTCAGTCTACTCTCCAACCAAATTTACTTCTCCATCTCTTCTTGATAAGTGAGTTTTTCTTTTCTTTTCTTGGGATTTACAACTCATTTCTTTCTTAGGCTGTATCCACTTACTCAAAACTGAAACCTTAGATTCTCTCTACACTATCTATAGAAGTTGACTCCAAATCTGTTTTCTCTTCCTTCCTGTTTCTCTAGCCTAAACTCAGCTCATTTTATTGAAGTGACTAATTTCCATACCTCTAGTCAGTCCTTTTCTTGGTCTAGCCTCACTGGTTTTTCCCTTTAAAATTCTACCCTGCTTATAGATCTCTGGAACTTGCGATTGTCTGAACTGCAATGTGTTGCATAAAATGTTCACAACCAGGATGCAGGGATGCATTTTTCTTTTGAGTTCCCAGCATTCCAACTACAGCCTCCTAGTCATTCACTAACACGTTCCCAGTGTCTCTCAGTCAGGCCCTGGTCAGAAAACTGAAAGCATATTTCAACAGAGAATATATATAAAAGGAACTGGGAAAACAAATACTTGACAGTCTAAAAATGAGAACAGAACACTGAAGTAACTTTTATGTCACAACTGCTCCTGTAGGTAGGAACTATGATTCTGGGGCTCAGAAAGGGAAGAGACTGGAGTTTTCAGAAATGAATGTTTGGATGAGAAACCTTACAGAACCTCCACAGCGGGACAATCCAGGCTACTGCCTATAGCAGCCCTTGTAACTGGGCTCAAACTAGAAAAGAGATGCTCCCAGAGTATACAGAAACTTCCAAGGGTGAGTTGAGACTAGTTTTGGAGAAAGCTGAGTGCTGCAATCCAATGAGCAATACTGTTAACAAGAGCCATCAAACAGGACCAAGGACACTTACTGCTTCTCTCTTTCCTCATTGGCAGAATCCAGTAGATAACCTAAAGTTTCAGCATCAGAAGGCTGAAAATAGTCCAAAGCCAATCATTCCTTCACATCTCCCTGCTGCTACTTATAGTTTCTCCATCCATAATGCTCTTTCTCCCAATGTCTGCCTGATACACACCTTTTATCCCTAGCCTTTTTCAAAGCAATTATTTATACCATTTATGTTCACAAATGTTTCCTTTAGATTTCTTTCATATGTTTGTTTGTTTGTTTGTTTTACACCAAACTATGATCCCCTTTAAGGCAGTTAGACTTACAAGCACAAGTTAAAGTTCTAGCAAGATGACCACCACAAAGCAGATGTTGGTTGAATTGGATGGAAACAACAAAGATATTTTAAAGAAATTCATATAAGAGGGCTGGGAAGGTAGCTCAGTGATAGAGTTCTTGCCTTGCATGCATGAGGCCCTAGGTTCGATTCCTCAGTACCACATAAACAGAAAAGGCTAGAAGTGGTGCTGTGGCTCAAGTAGTAGAGCGCTAGCCTTGTGCTGAAATGCTGAAGGACAGCACCCAGAGTTCAGGCCCCACGACCGACAGAAAATAAATAAATAAGTAAATTCATATAAGAACATTACATATATGTTTCCTCTCAACAGAATTAGAACCTATATGGGAAGAGATAATGTTTTATACATCTTTTATTTTCATCATGGTAGGTAGTATAAGATTTTATATGATGACAATAAGTCGAATGATTAACTACCTACTTACTTTGGTTTTTAACACATATTTGGTACAAAATGACCTAGGATAAGGCATGATATTATAAATATCAGGCAAGACCTGTGTCTGGATTTAAATCTACTTCTAGCCTACGATGCCAGCAATTAGTACTCTCCACAAGCTAAAGTTCTGTGTTTGTTGAACCATAATAGGAAAATACGATCAAGAGACCAAATTTATAGTCAATCATAAACTAGTGAGATATAGTCCAGATTTCTTTTTTTTTTTTTTTTTACTATTTATATCTGACAGAAAACATATTCTTCCAATCCATAGGGTAATTAATCCTGGGCCACATCTGTTCCTTGTACATTTATTAAATTTCTCATGGCCATTAAAATCAAGTAGCAGTTTATTTAAATGTAAGAAAGGTATTGAATTTTAACTTAATCACTAGCTTCTCAAAAAAAAAGAAAAAGAAAAGAATCTTCTGTTCAACAACTGATTTACATTCAGGTCCAAGAAGAAGAAAAATAGCTTTTAAAAAAAGAGGGGAGTGATATTTAATTAACTATTGATTTCTTCTCAATTATTCAAGGCAAGCAATTATCGATATTGATGGAACAGATATTTCCCTACCTCTGGTGCCCAAGTGGAAGGAAATATCCCATTCTACAATCTGCTGCCTACCACAGGAAATTCTGAGAATCTTTAACTTGAAATGGAAACAATTATTTGGATCTGTTCAGTCTATGTTGCTCCAATTAAACAGATATTTCGTAAAGTGGAAGCAAAACAAAAATCCTGAAAACTGTTATGCCTTGCAAATTAACCACAACCAGAAAACCAGGGCAGTTCTTAAATTTTATCCAAGAGGTTAATCATTTTGTACTTGGGAATTTTACCTCACAACTATAGATCTTGACATGTTTAACAGCTACTCATAAAATACCATAATTTGGGTCTAGTATTTATGGTTTGTAAGACACCTCAAAGAGCAGTAGCTCATACAATCATCAGAAATCACAGAACGCTACCTGGTATATCACTATTTTGAGCCAGAGGGATATGGTAGCCTTTGCAAGGCACGCCCTCGTTCCCTTCTTTTTTCTTTCTTATCTTTAAGTAGTTGTTCAAAGGGGTTTCAATTTAACATGTCAGTTTATGAGTACAATGCATCTTGATCAATCACCCCTTCCATTGTTCTCCTCCATCTCTCTCAATCCAACCCATCCCTTCAAGTTACCTGGGGTTGGGGAGGTGGGGAGGGCTGGCTTTCACACATATGTACATTGAATGTCTTAGATGCTTCTGAAAATTACACATGGGTACTATTCTGCAGTTGTCTCAAACATCACCAAGGGAGGGTCAAGGAAGGTGGTCATATAGGACCCTGGTCAGGGTATCTGTTTTAGGGCATTAAGTCTAAGGACTTCTTTGCCACCATCTTTCCTGGTCTCATTTATCGACATACAGAACATTAGCACATATGTGTGGAAAATGCTTCTTGTAAAGGTGACATGAATACTGAATATGATTAATGAGCAACACTCTCCAGTTATTAATGGAAGAATGATTCTTTTTTTAAGTAGCTGATATTTAATAGCATTTGAGTGTGAATGTGTGTGTGCAATTTATGTGATATCTCTGCAGACATTTGACCATAACATTTTTCTTTACATGAAATATATACATATATAATATTAATAAAAAGCTACTTTTTCTGCTCTGCTTCCCAACACCCTGCCAATCCAGAGTGGTCTATATGTTAAATGCTTAAATAGTATATGTTGCTGGGAGAAAAAAAAATGTTCTTGGCTCTTTTACTGTCTGTTGTTCGTTAATTTCCCTGGGTTCTATTTAACGTTGTGCTAAATCAGTGAAACCTTGATTACCTAAAAAGAACAAGAGACATGGAATTAATGAGAATAACCAGAATTCTAAAGATGAGACCACCCCCCTCCCTGGAAAAAAAATGTATTAGAGGTGAAAGGTACCTGACAAAGACTCTGTGTGAAATTCAAGTCTCCAACAGCTGGACTTGGTTTAATTGGATTCTAATTCATTGATGGATATAATGAAAAAATTGGTAATCAGGATTTCACCATCGCCTTCATTACCATCCCCCAGAAATCAAGGTGACCTTGGGCTCTATTTCCCATATTTACAAGGGAATCAAAGTCGTCATGGACAGGAACAAAGGTGACTGTTCCTCCTCACACTCTTCCCTGGTGGAACAAGCTTTGTCCCTCTTCCCATCTGGCTGGCGCCTGTCTACAGCATGCAACCATTCCCCACCCCAGCTCCCCACCCCAGCCCTGTCTGCATGTGCAGAGAGAATGGTCCTTTGCGTAGAGGTTCTTGGTCTTTTTGTTATGATTTTGATTATTCTTTTCCACAATGCTGCTTTGCATTGTAAATGCCGCACGTTTGGCTTCAAAGCTCTACATTCTCACATCAGACTCTTTGTCCTTTAAAGAGGGAGAGAGAGAGAGAAGGAAGGAAGGAAAGAAAGAAACAAAGAAAGAAAGGAAAGAAAGGGATGAAAGAAAGAAAGGAAGGAAGGAAGGAGGTAAAAAAGAAAGAAAGAAAGAGAGAGAGAGAGAGGGAGGGAGGGAGGGAGGGAGGGAAGAAAGAAAGAAAGAAAGAAAAAGAAAGAAAGAAAGAAAGAAAGAAAGGAAGGAAGGAAGGAAGGAAGGAAGGAAGGAAGGAAGGAAGGAAGGAAGGAAGGAAGGAAGGAAGGAAGGAAAACAGACAGACCTGGGAGGTCCCAACAGGTCTCAAATCCATGACCCGGAGTATTGCATTACTTTGTCTTTGATAGCCTCATTTGGACAAAGATAATATCCAAGATTGCACCAAAAATCTATATGAAAAGGACTCATGCGATCAAAAACAAAGGTGGCAAACAGTTATTTGTTTGGAAACTGGAGTCACATGCTTAGTGGCTGGGAGAAGAGGGTGGGTGAGCACAAGATCAAGGGGTGTGTGTGTGTGCACGTGTGCGCGCGCGCGCGTGTGTGTGTGTGTGTGTGTGTTAAGCTGAAAACACGGTGTACCCGATGAACTGAAATTGATTCTGCTCTTCTCCTCCCCGCCCCACCCCTCCCACCCCGAACCCCTTCCCTGCATTCTGCAGCGAATGTCTGCGACAACGAACTCCTACATTGCCAGAATGGAGGGACCTGCCACAACAACGTGCGCTGCCTGTGTCCCGCAGCCTACACGGGGATCCTGTGTGAAAAACTGCGGTGTGAAGAGGCCGGCGGCTGCAGCTCCGACTCAGGCCAGGGGCCAACCCCAAAGGGTTCTGTAGCTCTGCTGCTGCCCCTGTTTCTGACCTCTCTGCTCCTGGGGACAGCCAGCTCCCCAGGATTCTAGGCCTAGCATCCAGCCAGCCGACAAGGACAAGCTTGTGCCCTGGGGAAAAGCAACCACCACTCAAGCATTTGCTACAAACCTAGAAAACACCACACAGACACACATATGCACACAGGCACGGTGTATGCAGACTAGAAGGCCTAACTGAACTAAGCCATAGCTGTCAGAAGTGGGCAGCCCTGGGGAGTCAAGACTTGTTCATTTTTTGACTCCAGAAGAGTTGACAGCTGTTGATTTGATCACTACAAAACAACAACAACAACAAAAAAAAAACAATCACATTGCCAGCTGCAAGAGCTTATTTGTGTGGACTGGCAGCACACACCCCTCGCCCCCCACCCCCACCCCAGCAACAGGAAAGACAAGACAAACAAATCAACCGAGTTACAAACATTTGCTACTCTACTGTGGTGCCCCCCCCCTCAGTCCAGCTCTGCCCACTTGTGTGAACCAACCAAATAGAAGCATTCTTTGTTGGTCAGGTGCATTGTGGGTTTAAAGGAAATCTGTTACAAGATGTGCAGTCCCAGAATTCCTCCCAAACCTGTGCTTTAGTGAACGTTGCTCTGTTACCCTTGTTGGTTGAAAGATTTCTTTGTCTGATGTTAGTGATGCACCTGTGTAACAACCCCCTCCAAAAGCAGCCAGTCATTCCCCTGTATATCTTAGGGGCACTGAGTCACCCAGTGCCAGCTCACACCCACTACCCAAGAGTGGCTATAGGAGTAAAAAAAGAAAAAAAGAAAAAAAAAAAAAGAAAGTGTATCTATCCTTTTGTATTCAAATGAAGTTATTTTTCTTGAAATACTGTAATATGTAGATTTTTTGTATTATTGCCAATTTGTGTTACCAATCTGTTAATGTACCGAATTCGAATCAGCAAAGACTGACATTTGATTTTTTTTTTTGTCTTCCTTCTTTCATTCTGTTTTGTTTCACTGTGCAGAGATTTCTATGTAAGGGCAACGAACGTGTTGGCATCAAAGAATATCAGTTTACATATAGAACAAGTGTAATAAGATACCACCAAAGGACATTCTAAATGTTTTTTTCTTGTTTGCTTTAACTCTGGAAGATTTAAAGAATAAAAATTCCTGCGTAACACAATTTCAGGAATTTGTATTGCAATTTCTTGAGATGAAAAGAAGCAGCCACGGAACAGTTTCACACTCACTTTTCCGATTTTTGTGTGGACTGAACACATTCAACTGATGAATTTAGTACCCAGGAAGATGGATCAATGTTCACTAGTTTGGACAACTTCTACAAAATATGGGACTATTTTCCATTTGGAAAAAAAATTATATCAGCAAAAAAAGAAAAGCAAGAAAGAAGAAAGAAAGAAAAGGAAGGAAGGAAGGAAGGAAGGAAGGAAGGAAGGAAGGAAGGAAGGAAAGAAGGAAAGAAAGAAAGAAAGAAAGAAGAGAAAAAGTGATTGCCAAGATTATGCCAAAGCCTATTGGCATACTAAGAGACTTTTATTTTTAAATCATGCTATTTTCTCAGATGGATGGTGATCTGACTCTAGGGACACTGATCTATGTATCTTTCCAAATGCAGTGTTTACATGGAATATCCTAAGAGGCCACCTGGGGAACCAGGAGAGTAGCAGGGAAATTGAATGATTAGCAATTTGACTTTAAATATATTCAGACCAACTATTTAAATGATATATCAAAATATACAGCAGCAAGTAGACATAACTGCTGTTTCTGGAATAAAGTTTGTTTTAAGTACCGCCCAAGGTGTAATAAATTCTTGTTTCTGCCTTTTATGAGGCCAATTACTGCCTAAGACAGCAAGGGGGAAGCGGGAGGGGGAGAAGAACCATTGCAAAGTTTGGAAAAGGTTTCCACAAGTGTATATTCCTGACCCAGCACCACTGAGGTCCTAACAGGTTACAAATGTGGTAGCAACAGCATCTGCTGGAATCAAAAACAATTACCAGCCCAATCCAGAGTCTAAAGGACCATGGAGTCCTTGTTGGATTCCTATCATAGCATTGTTAGGTCTGAAGCCTAGTTCCAGTCCGAATGCTTTTACCCTGCTGCCACTCCTTGCTGAAATGGGGAGTGGGCGGATGACTTCTGATAAATAACCAGAGTCAAAACTAGATGAAAGAACAGTGTGTCTTATTTTGTGTCTCTCCCAGAAAAGCCAATTCGAAGAAGGCAATAAAAGGTAAACAGGTAATGTCTGTGCTGCCTGCTATCCCACGTCTAAGTCGATTGAATGTTTGTTATTCAAACCAACAGTCTCTTTTGATAGAAGAAATAAGGAAAGATAGAAATAAATTAAAGCTCTGGCTTAGCATCAGAGTGGCCAACTAGAAATGGGAGATTTACATTAGAAGCATAAACAGAAAATTATATTTCAAGCTCACCAAAGGATATACGGGAAAATGTTGATAGCATACAGCGTTTGAGATTACTAGTAATGAGGTGGATTTCTAATACAAAAATGGAATTTTGGTAGTCTTACAGTTTATTAGCACAAACCAAAGGCAGACTGTGTTATTTCTGGCAGCGATGCACTTTATCACTATCAACTCAAGGCTGTGTCACATGCTCAGGAGTCAGACACTGCACAAGTCAAGACTTGGGATTCCAAAAGCTGATTCTCAAATTTAATGAAGGCCTGATCTAACTCAGGTCATCTGCATTTTATCCTGATGAGACAATAAGAATCTCAATGGACGAGAAGTATCTTGCATTTGGTGTATTTAGATATAGTTTTCTGAATTTCCTGAAGTTGATGTGATCTGCTTTTAAATAAAAAAATCACTTTTAGGTATATAACAAATGGAAATGAAATGTTCTCTTTAATCTGGACTCGAGTTATTTTAAAAGGCCTTTTCCTTTGAAGAAACCCCAACTCTATGGATTTTATTTATCTGATGCTTTCAAGCATTCTTGAACATCTGTTCACTTCACCAATATTATGTTCAGGATTCCAGTGGAAAGGGTACACTAAGTTGTCCTCATATTTGAGGTACTTGTCATTTTTTGTTTCTACTTGGATAGATAGGTCCCTTAAGGTGGAATAACATGATTTTGCATATGAATAAATCACCAACTTCCCACAGGGCAAAAATAAAATTGCATCAAAACTATTGATGAGCTGTGTACTAGTGGCTCATGCCTGTAATTCTAACTACTCAGGAGGCTGAGAGCTGACAAGGTTCAAAGCCAACTTGAGCAAGAAAGTCTGTTAGACTGTTATCTCTGACTAACTACCAAGAAGCAGGAAGTGGAACTGTGGCTCAAATAGTAGAGCACTAGCCTTGAGCAAAAAAGCCCAGGGACAGTGCCTAGGTTCTGAGTTCAAGCCTCAGGACCAGCACACACACACACACACACACACAATTAAGTATAAAAATTCAGAAACAATGACATATATATTTCAGACATACAGTGTTGCTATTACATGAAGGTAACAAATCTGCTCTTCTGTAATGTAGTTATGACTCATTTTTTACCTGTACATAGCCCGAGTGAAGATTAGTCCCAGAAAAGAGAGGCCAGGATTAGAGATACAACATTCATCTCCTTCAGCTTTATCCCAGAGTCCTAGCCTACACAGACACCCAGTCTACCCACTCTTCAGACATTTGTGGGTATCGTTGGGGAAGGGGAAGTGTGGGGGGGAAGGAAGTCCAAAGTCTTGTAGGTAGGCAGATTGAACAACCCTGGGCACAAGGTTTGACAAATCAGGATTAGTACATGAGACCCCGGATTGTTCACTGGGGAATTCACACATGACAGTGGGAAGAAAGGTCCCTTCCAGTGGAACTCAGGGCTCAGGGCAGGGAAGAAATAAGGGCTGGAAGAAAAATAGATGAACTAGACCTCAAGGTCTAGTACAAACCTTGAGCAGGCCAAGGATTCTAAATGGATACCTGGACTTCCATTGATTAGAAATGATGATGAAGGTACATGTCAAAGGGATAGTATGGAATATATTTTAGTATTTGACTAGCTTAAGGAGTAACTTTCAAGTAATTAGGCATATGGTATGTGGGCCTCCAATATCACCCCTACACACACACACACACACACACACACACACACACGTACACACGCACACGTACACGCGCACACGCACACATACACACAAAAATTTGGGTTTTGGATTTATCTGTTCAACATGTACTGAATTTAGCCCTCACGCTTGGCACCATTCACTTGTCCAGGAAACATAAAGAAAGGTACAGGTTGGAAGAAGCAATGTCTGGGTCATTATGCTCTGCCTCATGCTTTCTTGGAGCTGTGCCTTTAATGGAGTTTAAGGACATTTGGATGAACTGAAGAAATCATGAAATCAAATCTTTTATTCCATCTCCTTCACCCTCTGTCATCAATAATCCAATAATACTGGATATAAAAAGCTGGTGCACTAATATGGGATGTTACCATGCTATATGGGAAATGATCTGTTATACTTCACCCTTATTGTCAAATAAAAATACCTATATAACAGGTTCTGTACTCACAGGACTGCACAGGAGACAGGGGGGCTTCGGACTATGTTCAATCTATGTTTGTCATGTGTAGAATTTGACATGTGTCTGTGATCTGGTATGATGTACAGTTTCAGCTTCAAGAGTCTGCATTTATACTTCTTACCTGCCACACTTCACCCCCATCCTTTATGGATAAGAATGTGATAGCAAATAAGCCATGACTTTGGAACAGTATGAGTAACCAGGTAGAGATCTAGAGTTCTGCAGCTATTTTGTTTTGTTTTTAAGGAAATGCAGTTGGACGGCCTTCATAATATCTTGGACTGAAAACTAGAGATGCCCATGGGGTATGAATGAAATATTTGGTTGTGAACAATTCTTTTTGCCTCATGAAATCAGTGCTAGATACTGATCAATTTCATTTCTAAAAAATCTAAATGTTCATCTGATGTTCATCATTGACAATTCTAGCCATTTCCATGTAGAATGGCTTTTTAAAACTTTCATATAGCTCCAATTTTACTTCCTTATATTAAAAAGTAGCTTGGGGCCAGTCATTGGTGGCTAAACCTGTAATCCTAGCTACTTTGGAGAATGAGATCTGGTGATGATGGTTCAAAGC